GGTTCCCAGTTAAAGCATTAAAATCGTTAGCAACGTGGCTAAATAGATGAGCGGCTGCCAAAAGGCGAGTGTTGGAGCGAGTGCTCCTAGCATTCCTCTTTTCTGAAAGTGCTTGCGTTAATGTTCTGTTTGGCAACATAAATTTGAGAAAGAGAATTTGAATTTTAATATTTTAAATTTAATATTATTGTTTATTTTTATCAAAATAAAATAAATTTAAATTTAAATAAAATACATATATTTCAATATGTGTATTTCAAAAACATAAAAATAATGTATTTCGAATCCATATCTAAATCCATCAATTTGAATTTGAAAATGAATTTACCCTGCACTCTCTCAGCACACCATCGACGATGAAGCCTCCGTCGTGCCTCCGTCTGATGCAGGCAGGCTCTGGTGTTTGCCACCATAAGCTCCACTGCGGTAGTGCGCAGGATAGGCACCCTGTGGCTCCGTATCTCTGCCTTTCGTTTTCATAAGTGGTGGTGATGGTGGATGGGCCAGTCAACTTCGACAGCCGCTATTTCAGACCGCCAAGATGCTAGCTTGAGCCACCGATCGAAGCCTAAACAACGGCTCTGATTTCATCTATGCACGATGACGAAGCAGAGGAGCCTAACGGAAGTTTCGATGGATTATCTGATTATATATCTGATTTGCCTGACGAGTGCTTGGCTTGCATTTTCCAGTCAAAGGCATCTTCATCTTGTGCTCTTTTGACATTAATTTAGGTTAATTTGTGGAGTTTTTGTCTTACTCTTGAAAGTTACTCTGAGTTAACCTTGTTATTTGACCGTAAAATGGGGTCACGAAGGGTAATGGAAAAAATTCATCCTTTATATTTTTTTATTGTTGGTGACATTGCTTTATTTTATATAATACTTTGTTCTTTTAATTTTTATAATAAAATTTTTTCATGATAAATTTATATTTATAAAAATTAAATATTATATGATAATAAAAAAAATAAAAAATGGAGAATATAAAGTCAGAGTGATTGGTGGAGGTCATTGTTTTCTTTTTTTTTTTATCTAATTTGTTTGTTTTAGGATAATTTAAATAATACTTTAAAAGATCAAAATTATTAATTTTAATTTTATTAAATTTAAATAATGATTAAAAAAATTTTAATTTCAAACATATAATATTTTACTATAGTCAAATAATGTATTTAAAAATATATGTATTTAAAATTTATTTTTTTTATCAATTCAAATAATATATTTTAAAATATATATTCCCAAACACAACCTAAATGTATTATCGTTAGGTTTGGTTTGTGGTGGAGAAGGAACTCGCTGAGAATGTATGGGTGGCTAGGCTCGAATCAGTTGTAGCGTTTGCTTCAACTATCAACGACAACATTAGAGGTAAGGTCCTTAACTAATTACTTTGTCGTAGAAGGTGGAGCATCATATTGCATTGGGCGTCTCAATTTCTCAAACGCTTCGGACGGTGTAGTTATACTCACTAATAGAATTGTTAAGGCTATCAAACTATATTAAAAAAATATTAATTTTATTTGATTTAATTATTAAAAATAATTAATTTTTAATAAAATAAATAA